GACTTCTGAGCAAATCTGGACCCTTGGACAGGCCAGGTCAAGGATCCCAGAACTGCCATACAGTCACTGATCTACACAGACGGATGTCGGGGGATTTATTTATTTATTTTAACATTAGGAGTAAGAGTTGCACTGTCTGATATAATAGCCTTTAGCCACAGGTGGCTAGATAAATTAAAATTAATTAAAAATAAAGAAAATTTAAAAATTCAGTTCCTCAGTTACACTGTCTCCATTTCCAGGGCTCAGCAGCCACCTGTGTTGGACAATACTGTATTGGTCAGTGCAGATACAGACATTACCATCACCACAGAGGGTTCTATTGGACAGCGCTGGTCTAAGGCACAGGCTTTGGAATTGAGTAGACTTGAGTTGGCATCTCATGTGGCTGTGTGACCTTGGACAAATCACTTGCCTTCTCTGAGCCTCACTTTTATCTTATGTACATGAGCACAATGACATTTCCTCGACATAGGAGGTGGGAAGCCCATGAGAGGATGAGAAGGAGGTTTCAGCTCCAGGGAGGGAGCAACAGAGCAGTGGAGTGATTGGAAACAGGGATTTCAGAGCCAGGGAGCCTGCCTTGGAGACCAGCCCCACCATGTGCTGTGGTGATGACCCTGTCATACCCTGTCTGAGACTCACTTGCTTTGTCTGTAAAATGGGGGTGGTTCTCCTTTCCTAAATGGGTGCAGTGAGGATGATGTAACACGTAAGAAATTTAGTGTAGAGGGTGGCACATGGACAGCCCTCAACAGACAAGATTTGAACTCAGGTCTGCTACTATTATTGCTAATTGTAGTAATATGGTAGGTGGCTTTGTGTTGACACGGTTATGTGTCACAGAAGCACTGAATGTCCCTCAAATGTTAGCTATATCCACACAGGAGCACTATTCATACTCATTTTAAGCAGATGAGTCTCAGAGAGGTAAGTGACTCGCCTAGGGTCACACCAGTACCCTTTGCCTACCATCTGTCAGGATTCTCCAGTGAAAGAAAGTGTTGGATCTTATTTACAAATGCATCATGGATTTCTGAGGGTTGAGACCCTTTACCCACTTCTCTGCATTTGGAAGGTGTTTTTTTTCTCTGAAAAGGAGCAAAAATAAGCTGCATGTGTAGAAGACATATTTTGGAGTATCTGCCCAGTTTATAAGCCAAAAACTCTCCCTCTTTTTTTTCTGAGTACTGAGTCCCCATAGACAAGGAGCTGGAGCTCTGATTGTACAGAACATCTCTGCCCTTACCCCAGCTACAGTGATGGGGCCTGTATTGACACCTGTCCCAAGTGAGCCAATCAGATACCTTCTCCAGGGGGTTCAGAAATCAGGCAAAGGGATGCTGGCTAAGTTGGGCTGTTCCTCTGAACATGAGCGTTGGGGATTTGGAAGCTATGGGATGGTGCCTTTCTCCATGTGGACTGAGAAGCATTGAGTGCCCATTTGCAGAGAGAACTGTGAATTCTATGTTCCTGGAGAAGAGGTTTACAAAGGCTGAGGGGTGGGGGACTGAGAGAGGCAGTGAGCAACTGCCCTGGTTCCAGCAGCTTTTCTGCTTTCTGAACACACACTCGAGGCTTTGGTGGCAGATTACAAGAATAGCCACAGATTTGTCTCTTCCCATTAAGGATGAGGTCATTTCCCTACCCCTCACCATGTGACTTTCTTTGGCCAGTAGAATGTGGCATAAGTGATATGTGCCTGTTCTTAACCTTGGCCCTAAGAGGCACTGCAGTTCTGCTCTCATTCTTGGAATCCTGGTCTGTCTTGTGAGTATGCTTGGGTTTGCCTGCTAGGGAATGAGAGATGACGTAGAAGAGTGGCTAGTTGACACAGCTGAGGCTATCCTAGTCCAGACAGCCCCTAGGCAACCTGCCAACTGACCAAAGATGCATAAGTGAGCCTGGCAGAGACCAGAAGAACTACCCAGCTGACCCTGGCCCACACTGATAACCTATAGAATTGTATGCTAAATAAATGGCTGTTGTTTCAAGTCACTAACTTTTGGGGATAGTTTGTTACACAGCATGTGCTAACTGATAAAGCCTTCAATTCCTGGAACTCTTCCTGGGTCCTTATGTTAAATTCCTTAAATTTCTAAATTCCCTGTATTTTTTCTTGAGCAACTTCAGTGAGTTTCTTTTGCTTGTAGCCCAAGAGTTCCAAGAATTATAGACTGCTTGTTTATGTGGCTCCAGGGATTTGGTGAGATGAGCAGATGGGGTATTGGTAGATGGCAAGAGGAGATGAGAGCAGTCCCTGGGGTTCTCAACAAGATGGGAACATCCCAGAGACAAATGATCCAGAAGCCAGGAGGAAGGAGCTCCCAGGAACTTCCTCTTGTCCCCAGCCCCGGGATTTTCCCCTCCCTACTGCCTGTTCCTGACGTAATATGTTCCTGATGTAATACCTCTTGGGCTGATAGACAAGTGCCCACACTTCAGAAGCACATTGTATTATTTTTTTTGCTACCCAACATATCCTGTCATGTAATAGCAGATAGTAGTTCTAGTAATGCTTGAATTATTAAAAATGGTACTATAACCTCTACCTTCTCTTGGAGCTGTGTTTATGAGACTTCATGTTTTTGTGATTTATCCATATTTGTTCCATCACTGTGTAGTATCTCACTGTGGAACCCACTGTGAGAAAATACAATAACTTTGATTGAAAAACAATTTGGGAGCATCAATAAAAGCTGAAGATACACATATTCTATAACTGAAATTCCACTCTAATTATCCACTGAACAGAAATGTTCACAATGGGTTCCACAAAATGTATATTTTGAAACAGGATATTGTAAAACAGCTGTAGTATTTTTGAGTACCACACAAAAATTCATGGTTAAGATCTGCTTGCAATTATCTCCTTTTGTCTAGAGTCATTTATTTGTTTTTTATTTTCAGTCAGTTTATTTAAACTGAAAAAACAAAAGCCAAAATGGTTCAACCATTTCTTCGTCTGCCACACCTACAAGAAAGAGAGAGAAATAACAGCAACAATAGCAATAATAATAGTAATAATAAAAAAATGTGGCCAACGTTCATTGAAGGCTCACCATGTGCCAAGCACTATTTACAGAACTTTACTTTTACCATATTAGTTAATCCACATCCCTACCCTTTGAAGTAGGTGTTACATTACCATTATCCCTGTTCTACAGATGGGGCACAGAGCCATTAAAGGATTTACCCGAAGTCCCACAAGGTAGCATATGGCAGAGCTGGGATAAGCCAAAGGAGCCAGGCCTTAACTGCAAACCACGGGGAGGGTCAAGACAGCCGTGCTTGTCCTCAGGACCTCACCTCCAAGGTCACAGCCGATTGGACGAGGCTGGTTCCTTCTGGATGACGTCAGCATCGGTCTATCCTAACAGGTGTTGGCCAAGGTGGCGGGAGGACAGGAAGGGATCCCTCCTGCCACTCACAGAGGTAGGGACTCCAGGTAGTCTGGGTGAGGATTTTCACACCAGCCTGATTTCTCACCTTTCTCTTCTAAGAACCTAACTTTAGAGTTGTCTCTGGGTCTGATACAAGATCACCTCTTTGTCAGCGTCGTGTCCTTGATGAGTTGATGGATTTCTCTGAGATTTAGTTCTACTCATGTGGAAAATGAGCACAGGAACAGCCCCCATCCATGAGAGTTGCTGTGACTTGACTGAGGGCATGGGAAATTGGAGCCACAGTGACAAAGGTGATGTGGGTGATTCAGGCAGCAGCCTGGCCTCCCCTATTCCCCAACTCTAAAGGTTCCATACAACACTCACGGACTGGAGACCTGGCCCCAGGCCCTCCCAGCTGGTCCAAGAGGCCTTTCCAAACCATTTCAACATGCAGATTTCTCTTCCTCAGTACATAAGCTACCAAGGCTTGTATTGTCAATGGTGGAGAAGAAGCATTGAGGGTTAGGGGCTAGAACCAAGAGTGAGGCAGGGTTCAGGGCTCGAACCTTAAACTGTGGAGTCTGGAGCCAGTCCCTTCTTTTTGAGTCTTAGTTTCCTGTTTAACACAAAATGAGATCTTCACTCCTACTCCACCCCACCTCCTGCAGAGCTCTTGTGGAGATTAAATAATGTTTAGTAAGCACATACTAGGCACTTAATCCACAGTAGGATAGTACAGTATTATCATAATAGTTAATTTAATCTAAGATTAAAATGAAAATCAGATGTAAGTCAGATTCCATCCCTTCTCTTTCCTAAATCCTCCATGGCTCCTGTCTCACTCAGAACAAAAGCCAGGTCCTTACATGGCTAACAAGACCTTATGCTGTCTGGTGCCCCACCACTCCTGCCCCCTCTCCACCCCTGTTTCCTTCTCTGATTCCATGTCCTATTTCTCTTCCCATTCCTCATGCCACATTGGCCTCTTGGCTGTTTCTTGAACATGCCATTCAGATCCCACCTCAGGGCCTTTGCACTTGCTGTTCCCGCTGCTGGGTATGCCCTTCCCCCAGATCCACTGGCTTCCTCCTTCCTTTCCTTTGCTTAATGTCTTTGCTCCCATGTCACTTTCTCAGGGAGGACTTCACTAGCTTAGTTAAATTGTGTCCCATCCCCACACTCCCTGTGCTCCTTCCCAAACTTACCCCGCTCCTTAGCACTCACCATCAGCAACATACTATTGATGCTTTACTTGGTCATCACGTGTACCATTGGCATCTCAACTAGACTGCAAGTTCAGGAGGGCAGGGACTTTCCTCTGTTTATTCCCATGGTATCCCCAGTGCCTGGCACATGGTAGGGACTCAACAGTTATGTGTAGATGGGATGAATAGGGCTCTGACCATATCCTTGGCCCTGCTATAAAGGCTTTAGAAATATTACCTTGCTTAATCTAAACAACGGCTCTGAGGAAGGGGCCGTTATCATCACCCTGACTCTGCAGGTGGGCAAACTGAGGCACAGAGAGAGGAAGTGACTTGCCCATGGCTTCACTGTGGGTAAGTGACAGAGCTGGCATTTGAACCCAGGTCCAGGTGGGAAGGTATAGCCCAGTGGTATAATGCCTGCTTAGCATGCACGAGGTCCTGGGTTCAATCTCGTACCTCCATTAAAAAAATGAAAAAAAAAGAAAACACCTAATACCCTGTCCCCTCCCCCAAAAGAGATGGCCCTAGCTCCAGAACCCTCTCCTGTCTCTTTGTTCCCCAGAGGCCACTTTGAGAATGGATGATGGCACATCAGGGGTCAGTGTCATCCTTTCTGTTTTTGTCATCCTTTCTGGATGAGCTAAAAGCTCCTTGGGATGAGGCCGTTGGTCTGGCTTCAGTCTCGCTGCAGGGCAAGTTCTGTGCCTTGTGGGGGCTGAGTGGATGGGAGTGAGGGACGGAAAGTACCTTCACTTCTGGATTAAGGTGAAGACTATGCTTCCAATCAGTAACACGATCCCCACAAATGCAGCCACGATGAGGGCGATGGCAGATCCTCCTGACAGGGAGAGAGTGGGGTCCGGCTGGACAGGCGCGGGGTCTGTGGGATCCACATTGGCTTCTGGGGGACCGAGAGAAGGAGAGACTAGGGGAGCCACCCTCCTTCCATACCCCACCCCAGCTCCTGCCGTTCCACCTCTCCCCATCCTCTGGGTCTCCAGTCCAGCTTCTCCCTGTTCTCCTGCCCCAGTCTCTCCCCACCCATCTCCCCACCACACAGAAGCCAGAGGGGTCTTTTTAAAGTTCAAACTTGATCCTGTTCCTTCCCTGCTCAGAACCTTGCTATGGCTCCCCAGGATTTCACCTTGGCCTTTGAGTCCCTGACACCTGGCCAGCCTCAGCTCTCTCCACCCTCCACCTTTATAACGAAGCCCCACAGGATCCTCCTCAATTTTCTTTGTTCCTTTTTTTTTTAATTGAAGTAGAGCCGATTTACAGGGTTGTGTTTATTTCTGTATATAGCATTGTGATTCAGTTATACATGCATATATATATATATTCCTTTTCATATTCTTTTTCATTATAGGCTATTACAAGATATTGAATACAGTTCCCTGTGCTAGACAGTAGGTCCTTGTTGTTTATCTATTCATATATAGTAGTTGGTATCTGCAAATCCCAAACTCCCAATTTATCCTTCCCCACCCCCTTGGATTCCACTCAATTGTCTGAGCTCAGCCCCTCTCTCTCCTACTTCCAGGCCTTTGTCTGGAATGCCCCTGGAGTGCCATTTATGCCATTTTCTCCCCCTTGGGCTGGATAATTCCTGTGTATTCTAGAATCAGCTCAGATGTCGCCTCTTCCAGGGAGCCCTTTCTGATTCACTCGCTGAGTTGGATACCCCCTTGGGTCCCACAGACTTTTGAGCTCCCCCAGCCCAGCCTTGCGCACTCTGGTCATTACCATTTGTAGACAGGTCTGTCCCCTACTGGACTGGGAGTTCTGTGAAGGCAGGGCCAGGGCTGTCTCTGTCACCAGATGTCCTCAGCACTGCCCATCATGGACCAGTCATATAGTAGGTGCTCAAAAAACATTTTCTGACCAGTTGATGAGTGAGGAAAGGGGTCTTAGAAGTATTGTCATTCTCAGTAAACATATCAGGGTCACCAGATACTCTGAGATTTAAATTTTTGTCTCCCAGTAAATCACTGCAAAACCAAATCCTGAAGCTTCCACTGAACCCTAGCTGGGGAGAGGAGGCAACTTTTAGGAACGCAGCCAAGCCATGCCCCTTTCCATGCTCTGGACCTTTGCTTATGCATTCCCTGCTCTCTAGATCCCTCCCCATCTTCTCTACTGGCCAGCAACTCTGCATCCTTCCAGCTTGCTCCATGCTGCTCATCCTCCATGGATAGAAACATCAAATATAATATGCGTAACAGCTGCTATTTAAAGGTGTTATGCCAGCCTCACCCATATACTATTTCAGTTTCTTGTAGCAATCTGGCAGAGGTCTACACAATCACCTCTGTTAGACACAGGAGGAAGCTGAGGCTCAGAGAAGGGACATCACTTGTTCTAGGTCACCCAGCCAACAAGGCATAGGGGCAGGAATTGAACCCCACTTTGGCTCCCAAACCACTTTTCTTACCCCAACAACTGGCTGTTCTTGTTACTGCCACCCGAGCCTCCAAACACGCTACCGCACATGGTAAGAGGCACAAATGAATAATAATATAGATAATGCTAATCACAGCAGTGATGCTTGTCCATCCTTACTGAGCACTCGCTGGTGTTCAGTAGTGCTAGGCACTCTTATTTTAAGCTGTTCACCTGCTTATCTCATTGAATGCTCACAACTACACTTTGGAGTGGGCGCAATTATCTTCCCAATTTTACATATGAGGAAACTGAGGCACAGAGGTGTCAAGGTACTGGTCTAAAATCACACAGCCAGGAAGTGGTAGAGCCAGAATTCAAATTCCAAAGCCCATACTCGAACCACTCGTTATATTATCACTTTCATTTTTCTCTCCAGCATATGCTGAGACTCAGAGAGGTGACGGGGCTTCTCAGGTTCACAGAGCCAGCAAATGGTTGGATGCAAGACCTAGGCAGTAGCCTCCAGATCCTGCCCTGAGCTTTTATTAGAGTTCATGTCTTTGGGTCTCAGCCTCCCATCTGTAAAATGGGCTGATGATCCTCACTCTGCCAGGCAGATGAAAGAATGGGGTGCCTTCTTGGCTATAAAGGGCCTCAGAGGGGACTGCTCATAGAAGGTAGCTCAACGGAATCAGGAAAGCTGGCCACTGACCAGCAAGGGTGCAGGGGTCTGGGGTGAGGGTGGGAGACTCACGTGGCAGCGAGATAGTCACAGGCCTGGAGAAAGACACTGCCTGGCTATTCTCGGCGAAGCATACGTAGGTGCCCAGATCCTCTAAGGACAACCTCTGAATAATTAGCTTCTCCCCAGTCCCGCGAGGCTTCCCATTGAAGGTCCATCGTAGCACAGGCTCAGGGTTGACGGAAGCCACCCACTGCAGGATCACTGAGTAGTTGAGGTCACTGTAGATGACACCGTTTGTATTCCCTGGGAACGTCAGCAGCAACACCCCGTCCGAGTTGGCTGTGCAAACAGGGAGCAAGGTCACGTGGGTGGAGGCCACTCACAGAGACTGAGCACTTCTTCAGTTCACGACAGAGGCATTCATTCATTCACTCATGAACGAATGTGCTTGGAGTGCCTGCTCTGTGCCCAGTGTTGCTCCAGACGCTGGGGGTAGCAGAGCTGTTGGCATCCGCACCCTCAGCACTTCCACCTGCCAACGCTGCACCTGTTGCCCCACGGCTGCCATGGAGGCAGCGGACCAGAGAGCTGGGAAGTGGACACGCCCATGCCCTCTACACTGCTCTGCTCTCAGTTTCTCGCGCTCACCAAGTTCTCTTACCCCTCCAGCCCTGTCCACACTGTTCTTGCTGTCTGGAACAACCTGTCTCATCATCTTTACTGGCTAACCTCCCTTCAGATAGCATTTGAAATGCCACTTCTGCAGAGAAGCTTTCTTTGGCTCTGTCCTTGAGGTTATTCATTTCACGTCTCTCTCCCCCGCCAACTGGGAATTCCATAGTCGGAGGAACCAACTCTGTGTCATTCACTGCTGCGTTCCTCCTTCTCCAAGAAGCCCTCCCAGGCCGTCCAGAGGGAGCCAGGCGCCCTCTGGGCTCCCATAGCCAGCTGGCTTGTCCCAGCCCTGCCCACTCTGAGTCATCCCTGTCTGGGGATGCATTCGTTTTCCCCACTGGATGCTGAGCCCAGGAGGGGAAGGCCAGACCAGGGCTGTCTCAGCCAGGTTATGTCTCCACCACTGCCCACCACAGGGTCAGTGTGTACAGTGTACAGGGTCAGGGTGGTGGTTTGTTGAATTAATAGGTAGTAATGTTGTCATGCCCACCTCAAGCCTTCCCCTGAAGCCCCAGCTCCCTAACCCATATCACTGCTTCTAGGGACCAAACACCTTTTCTTCACACCCCATCATTCACCCACTGTGGAGCTGGGAGCCCACAGGCATGCTGGGACACAGAGACAAGTTGGGGAGTAGGCTGATCAGCAGGTGGCTTGCCTGACTGATCTAGAAGCCAAATGCACTGTGGTTGGAAGGAACCATTGGCTAAGCTTGATGTACACTTGGCTTAAACTTGGGATGGGTGAGACCCTCAAGGGCATCCTCAGATAGAAACTTGTGGCAGAAACTTCTGGCTATCTCCCTCCATCTCTTCTCCCCTTCTTCCTTTAGTTTCAGAATCCCACCTTTCAGCTGGGTATATGATTGCCCAGGATAAAGACTACATTTTCAGCTTCTCTTAAAGCTAAGTATGACCATGTGACTAGTTCCCAGCCAATGAGACGTGAGCAGCCTCTGTGTTGGGCCTTAAAAGGAAGGCATCTTCACTCCCCTTCCCCTCCCCTGTAGTATTGGTTGGAGTGCAGATGTGATGAGAGCCATCTTGGGTCCCACAAGCAAGACAAAACCTACTGATGATGGAATAATGAGAAGGAGCCTGGGTCCTGATACCATGAAGCCACCATGTCATCCCTAAATGGTTTATGCCAGACTGCTATGTGAGAGCTAAATCTCCTTCTTGTTTAAGACACTGTTACTTTGGGTCTTTGTTAGAGCATCAATCTCTGAGTCTTATATGGTCTCCATTATGGGCTAAATTATGTCTTTCCCTCACCTTCTCCAAGATTCATATACTGAAGCACTAACCCCCAGAACCTCAGAAAGTGACAGCATTTGACGCTAGGGCCTTTAAAGAGGTAATTAAGTTAAAATGAGGCCATGAAGGTGCGCCCAAATACAATCTGACTGATGTTCTTATAAGAAGAGATTAGGACTCACAGGGAGACACCAGAGGTGACAAACAGAGGAGAGACCATGTGAGGACACAAGGAGAAGGCAGTAATCTGCAAGCCAAGGAGAGAGGCCTCAGAAGAAACCAAACCTGCCGACACCTTGATCTTGACTTTCAGCCTCCAGAACCATGAGAAATAACTTTCTGGTTTTTAAACCTCCCAGCAGGTGGTCTTTTGTTGTGGCAGCGCTAGTAGACTAATACATCTCTAAACCACCTTCTAGGGAGGATGAGTCTGGTTAGCCTCAGGACTTTGTTTTTCCGGTTTAGGTGTGAAAGTTCAAGTCCAGAGCTGAATAGCTCATAAAAACCAAGGTGAGTTTGAAGGCTGCCACCAGAGACCCCTGTCCTTCCCCAAGTGATAGTGAACAAATATTTAATGAAGATCTATTGAAAAGTGTGATAGGTAACAAAAATGGCCAAGCACATTGCAGCTTCTCTCACCGGGAGGTGAAGCTTATTTCTCTCCCATTGGAGCTGGGCCAGTCATGTGACTCATTTGGGCCAAAACAATGTGGTGGAAGTGATGGCACGCCAGTTCTGAGTCTGGGCCTCAGGAGGCCTTGCAGCTTTCGCTCTTGTTTCTCTTCCGTTGCTGAGTGAACAAGCCCGGGCTAGCCTGCTGGTGGATGAGAGGCCTTGTGGCCCATTTACCCCCATTGTCCCAGCTGCCAGCCAGGCCACTGCCAGACATGGGAAGGAGGCCACCCTGGACCAGTGCCCAGGCACTCATTCCCTAGCTGACCAGAGACACATAAGTGGGCTTAGCTAAAACTAGCTGAGACCAGAAGAACTGTCCAGCAGAATCATGAGCTAAAGAAGTGGTTGCTATTTTAAGTTTTGGGTTGGTCTGCTAGGGAGCACAGAATGGGTCCTGATGGGCCCTGCTGACCAAGAACTCACCCCTCCTGCCGTAGGGCCCCACTCACCCTTGACCTGTATCTGCTCCGTCACACTCCTGCGTCCCTTGCTGGTTTCCAGCACCATGGTGTAGCTGCCCGC